TCCCCTCCATTACCACTACAAAAAAATCAAAAATTGGCACAACATATTTTATTCTAAAAAGGGTAAAAGAATGATTTGGTGCAGTTGAAGCTTTCCTTCAGCACGTCTCTTCCAAAACAATATAATGTAATAACGCTGCAGAGGGATGCTTTCGAAAGGAGAGACCGCTTGTGTCAGTTCTGTGAAAAAAATGCAGCTCTAGTAAATCCTGTACCAAATTTTAATTCTTCTTCAAGCTCTAAATTCAGACAATTTTTCCCTCCCCTTTCCCTTTTTCCTGCCTGCAAAAAAATTCAGTCAAATCGCATGGTGCCAATAAGTAACCAAATATTGCTCTTCATTTTTCAAAGATTCCGAAACATACCAAACCACGGACAAAATCCACCGGCTTGGTTAAACCACTGTAGCCTTTGTATATGTCATCGATGACTTGAAACAACCATCGTGCTTCCTTTCCAACATCTATACACTTTGATGAAGAGCCCTATGAAAAGGTACCGTTATCTACTGCGGTAAAGGTAATCGAATGCATACCTGCTGATTATTTATTTGCCAATCACAATTATCACAACAATTAGTTTGAGGCTGTGATGGTGCAGATGTCGACGGGTCGAAATGGTTCAAGAGCAGGCTAAATTCGAATTCATTTATTGCAGCATTTCCTTTCTGCACCACTGCAGCAGGTATCTACACTCTGTCTCGGTGGCAGTGTCCGGCCCCGGCGTGGGTCCCGCGCAAGCTTCGCTTAGACTCTGTGCAGCGTTTGCCACGCATCTGAGCAGTTTCTAAGCCTAAGTGAATGCTGCCTGGTATGGGATGCCCGGAGGGTACGTCGTAGACGCGGATCAGTGTTTAGACGAGGCGTCGCGCGCCACCCTGCCACAGGAGCCGGGACACTATCACAAAGACAGGGGGTGAAGGTATTACTGTATCAGGGATGCAATCAAACGTACTATCTTCTGCAGCGCATTGATGTCAGAAACTCTTCCATGGATCGAAGCATCTCAAAAGCATGAGATAGATAAGGTTCCTGCATAGTCTTATTTATACGAGACCTAGAAAAAAAATTGCTAAAAATCCAAACGCATGATGACATAATCTAGCCAACCTATTCATCGCAATGTCTTTCTGCGACCAGAATGCATGACAGACGGCTGAATCACCATCTCGACCAGCTCGGCCAATTTCTTGATAGTAGCTCTCGATATCTTTGGGGCCTGCAACTCAAATAATTTTAGATTCTACAGGAGTTCAATAATAAGCTGCCGTGGTCAAACTAAACCCACTTCCATAATGTATAACCTTGCGCACATCTGACTTATCGATACCCATGCCAAACGCTACAGTTGCGACAATTGTAGTATACTAAAACATAGCAGTTGAAAAAAGGAATTTGTTGGAGCAACAACGGTACCTTATCTTGAATAAAACCATGATGAGCCTCGTTTTTGGCCTTTTCACTCATTCCAGCATGATACATAGCGCACTTGACTCCCCTTGCTAGAAAATAAGTAACTTATTAGCTATTAAACTTCAAAAATCACATAAGAA